GATGATAACGAGTAGATGGTCAATGGCTGACTGAAGACGCAGACGATCCAGGGTATCAGTGGCTAACGGATGATCAAATCATCAGTGGTGTGGAAACATCGCAGGAGCACGATTCATCTTATGATGAACAAGAAGTTAGTCACCTCCTAAGAGTCAATGCATCAACAGATTTTAATGCTGCTGACAACCTGCTGATGTGACTGGAAGATAAGGGGATGTGGATTATATTCACCTAATGCAAGTGAGGAAATGGCGAGATGAAGCTGCCAAACAGAGGTTCAACAATTTAAGACAGAAGTCGATGACGGATTATTTTCCCCGACAGGAATTGTACTGAAGATGGTGAAAAAAAAAAAAAAAAAATCACCACCCCTCCACCCCCAAATAAAAAAAAAAAGAAAATAAATAAGAAGGGATACTTTCAATTGGTATCCCTCATTTATGAATAAAGACAGAAGCGATATATCATCACAACTTGCACTTTTTACACGCGTACCGGTACATGTTCATTTGTAAAACCGTCCATTGGTTTCATATTTGTTTGTTTTTGTTCATAAATATTTTGTTCATTACAAAATTATTCATTCGTCTACACAGTAGGCCTATCATTTGTCTATGTCCGGCCGATACGTTTGTTATTTGTTTGAGAAATGTCAGTCTTATTCGTTCCTTTATGAATTTGTTCATGTCCGTCTTATGTTTTCGTTATTTAATTTTTTTTTTAATCTTGTCCGTCATATCGTTCATAAATTCGTTCATGTCCGTCAAATGTGGTTGTTGTTTTATTTGTTTAAATCATACGCATCCTTTGCGTTTGTAATTTATCCGTTGGAATAGAATAAAATAGAACATTTATATAGCGTCGGTATCCGCCAAATATGACGCTCATGGCGCTTCTGAAAGTGTTTCATCAGTTATATGCAGCACAGAAAAGAATCACGTCTTATACGTTCGTTCGTGTATTGCGGACTCGCGATCAAATTCTAGCAGCAGTGCTGCGGCTGGTTCACAATGCTAAATCCCTGGAGCGTGCTTAGCCATTCAGCGCAAAGCATAAATCCATCTGCGCAACAAGCCCATGGTTTAACGAATGATCGTCGCCCATGCGGAGTACTTCTTGATTTGCAAGACGACATTAGACCGCTGTCATCGTTAATAGCAACAGTTGGTTAACATCAAAGGAGCGCATAGCTGTGGTTGACAAACTTTACAGGACGCGCGTCTGGGAATGAATTTGGTTTACGCTTATGAACTTTGTAAACAATGAATAGGGTTTAGATAAGAAATGACGGAAAATATATGCAATTTAAATGAATCATTTGTACGTATTATTTTTAATGACACCTTTTCATTGGTAGGTAGGGAGCATGGGAGGAGCATAGACCTGATTGTTTAATTAATTGATTGAAACATAATTAAGTGAAATGTAATGTACATTTCAACAATGGCTTCTGCCTTGAAAAGACCAATTCCATTGATACGAAACTGAGCGTAATAAAAGCCTATGAGAACCACGAGTCCAATTCAGCGATTGGATAACGTTTTGGACTTTCGAAGTCTACGGTAGCGACCATATGCAAAAACAGAGAGAAAATGCAAAGACGAGTTTCAACAAAAGAAAACCCTACTAAAGCAAGAAAATCTTCGTATGTGAAAACACCAATCTTCGATAAAGTAGACGCGGCCATGTACACGTGGATGGAGCAGCAGAGGGCTAGGGGAGTGTCTGTTCAGGGACCTTTGTAATTTATTACACCTAAAATGAAATTTTTAATCACAAAATTTCAACCAATTACCTCAAAATATACTTTTTACTTTTAAAGATGCGAAACTCTATTCATTTATGGACATAAAAAAGTAAATTTGTGTTAGTTTAGACATCAGTAGAAAGTGAAAATTAGCATGTTTCTGGTAGTTTTTTTTTTTATTAAATTCGGGGAAAAGCTAGGGAACGTTAGGGTTAAGTTACGGGTTAGTTGGGTAAATTCTTGTTCAATATTTCATCACTATAACTCGTAAATAAATCATTTCCTTTTTATAAAGCCAGCATACATTAATTTCTTACATGTAAAGTACATTGAATTTAGCGTAGACATCAACAGAAAACGATAATTAGTATTCTGTACTGTAGGCAAGAAAAATGGTTCTGGCGATCTGTAATCATTAATTAATATAATTGTTGGTATTGGATATTTTTGTTGAATAAAAGTTAGTTGATGTAGAACTTGGTTTAGCCGTTTTTGATTAATACATTATGTAGTTTTTGCATGATTTAATACAATAGTTTTTTTAGGCTGTTTTAATTAATGCAGTAAGCAGTTTTATGCAGTCATTAATTAATGTAATTGTTGGTTTTTTCTGTTTTTTTTTTTAAAGAATTCAGTAAGCAGTTTTATGAAAATCGTCAACTAATGTAATTGTTGGTTTAGGCTGTTTTTGATACTCTCAGTATGCAGTTTTATGCAATCATTAATTAATGCAACTGTTGATTAATGCACTTAGCTGATAAATCCATTATATAATGCAGTTGTTGGTTACCTGAAGTATCCGCTGAATAATGTAGTTTTTAGCTATCTGAAGTATCCATTGCATAATGTATTTGATGGTTAGTACAGTACTTGTTTGATGTATCATGTGGGTGGTTTTGATGTTACCAAGTGAAGGTGACGGTAGTAAAGCAGAATACTTACCTAGTGTGTCACTGGTTTGTTTGGACAATCACTTGTAGTTCATGTATAGTACACAATTTAGGCATGGTGATGAACTGCAACCTGTACCGTAACTTAACCTTAACGTTCCCTAGCTTTTCCTCGAATTTAATTTTAAAAAAAATACTACCAGAAACATGCTAATTTTCACTTTCTGCTGATGTCTAAACTAACACAAATTTACTTTTTTATGTCCATAAATGAGTTAGAGTTTCGCATCTTTAAAAGTAAAAAGTATATTTTGAGGTAATTGGTTGAAATTTTGTGATTAAAAATTTCATTTTAGGTGTAATTAATTACAAAGGTCCCTGAACAGACACTCCCCTAGCCCTCTGCTGCTCCATCCACGTGTATATGGCCGCGTCTACTTTATCGAAGATTGGTGTTTTCACATACGATGATTTTCTTGCTTTAGTAGGGTTTTCGTTTGTTGAAATGTGTCTTTGCATTTTCTCTCTGTTTTTGCATATGGTCGCTACCGTCGACTTCGAAAGTCCAAAACGTTTTCCAATCGCTGAATTGGACTCGTGGTTCTCATAGGCTTTTATTACGCTCAGTTTCGTATCAATGGAATTGGTCTTTTCGAGGCAGAAGCCATTGTTGAAATGTACATTACATTTCACTTAATTATGTTTCAATCAATTAATTAAACAATCAGGTCTATGCTCCTCCCATGCTCCCTACCTACCAATGAAAAGGTGTCATTTAAAATAATACGTACAAATGATTCATTTAAATTGCATATATTTTCTGTTATTTCTTATCTAAACCCTATTCATTGTTTACAAAGTTCATAAGCGTAAACCAATTCATTCCCAGACGCGCGTCCTGTAAAGTTTGTCAACCACAGCTATGCGCTCCTTTGATGTTAACTGATTGTTGCTATCAAGGTAATTCAACAAAAGGACGCATATCTCGGGACATCAAAGGTTATAATTCTGGCATCGACATTCTAGGCGCACGTGCGTCCCTACACGCTGAACGTCACAAAAACCATAGCA